GAAGACTAACCCAAAAGGGTTCTTTCAGGTATACAGAAGTAAGATTAGGGATAAGATAGGTCCACTTAAGAGTAACTCAGGTCAGATCACTGGCAGTGATAAGGAAATATGTGAGATTTTCTGTGCTTACTTCCTCTCAGTTTTTACTCAGGAAGATACTAGCGAAATTCCAGGAATAATAAATTATATAGAACAGGACGATAATAAACTATGCACGATTTGGGTAACTAGTGACATGGTCGTCAGATAAATAGAGAAACTGAAACCTAAGAAATCCCCAGGTCCTGATGAATTGTTTGCAAGGGTGTTAAAGGAATGTAAAGAGGAACTTAGCATACCTTTGGCTAATTTTTTCAACATATCACTGCAAACTTGCATAGTGCCTGATAAGTGGAAAAAAGGCAAATATGATACCTATTTACAAGGCAGGTGACAGGTCCTTAGCTTCGAACTATAGACCAATAAGCCTTACCTCCAAATTTATGGAATCAATAATTGCCGAGGCAATTCGTGGCCATCTTGAAAGGCATAAAATGATTAATGACTCAACACGGTTTTACTAAGGGGCGTTCCTGTCTTACGAATTTACTAATTTTTTTTACACTAATGGTAATGAATATGATATTGTGTATATGGACTTCAGTAAGGCTTTCGATAGAGTTCCACATCAGAGGGTATTGAGGAAACTTAAGGCACACAGAATAGGAGAATTTTTTCCTGGGTTGAGGCATGGTTGACAAATAGGCAGCAGAAAGTTTGCATAAATGGGGAGAAATCAGAATGGAGGCACGTCACAAGCGGTGTTCCACAGGGGTTAATGTTGGGCTCATTGTTGTTTGCAGTTTACATAAACGACTTAGATGAGGGAATAAATAGTGACATAAGTAAATTTGCTGAAGACACCAAAGTAGGCTGTCGAATCCATTCTAATGAGGACATTAGAGCACTCCAGGATGATTTGAATAGACTGATGCAGTGGTCGGAGAAGTGGCAGATGCAGTTTAATATAGAAAAATGTAAAGTTCTAAATGTTGGACAGGAAAATAACCATGCGACATATAAACATAATAATGTAGATCTTAATATTACTGATTACGAAAATGATTTAGAAGTTCTGGTTAGCAGTAATCTGAAACCAAGACAACAGTGCATAAGTGTTCGCAATAAAGCTAACAGAATCCTTGACTTCATATCAAGAAGTATAAATAATAGAAGTCCTCAGGTTGTTCTTTACCTCTGTATATCCTTGGTTAGGCCTCATTTAGACTATGCTGCACAGTTCTGGTCACCGTATTACAGAATTGATATAAATGCTCCGGAAAACGTACAAAGGAGGATGACAAAGTTGATCCCATGTATCAGAAATCTTCCCTATGGGGATAGACTGAGGGCCCTGAATCTGCACTCTCTAGAAAGACGTAGAATTAGGGGGAATATGACTGAGGTGTATAAATGGAAACCAGGAATCAATAAAGGCGATGTAAATAGCGTGCTGGAAATATCCAGCCAAGACAGGACTCGCAGCAATGGTTTCAAGTTGGAAAAATTCAAATTCAGGAAGGATATAGGAAAGCATTGTAATAGTTGTGGATGAGTGGAACAAACTCCCGAGTACCGTCATAGAAACTAAGACGTTGTGTAGTTTTAAAAATAGGTTTGATAAATAAATGAGTGGTGTGGGTGGGTCTGAGTTGGACCTGACTAGCTTGTGCTACTTGGTCTCATGCCGTGCTCCTTCCTTAAGTGGAAGTGTCCTGACTAGGTGGGTCATTGGTCTGAGCCGGGGAGTGACATGGACCTGCCTCGCATGGGTCATTAGGCCTGCTGCAGTGTTCCTTCTTTCTTATGTTCTTACATGTACATGTACAAGGTATACAGGCTTATTTGATAGCAATGACATAATATATAGAAAGCTGCTTGTTATGCAGAGCATTTCTGTCAAATTAGGTCAGTTTTGTCCCAGGATGCAACGCACACTAGTCGACTAACACCCAGGTACCCATTTTACTGATGGGGAACATAGACAATCGGTGTAAAGAAACGCCCAGTGTTTCTACCCTCGCTGGGAATCGAACCCAGACTTCGCCGTGTGAATCGAGTTTTAGCCGCCTGGCTATACTTCGTTCACTGAGTTTAAACATTTCCAACAACTACCTTTAGATGCCATCAAACACGAAGGGAGAAGTGATCAGAAAATGTCATGCCTAGAATTGTAAACACAGCCGAATGTGTTGAGGGGAGTCACTGTGTAAAAGGCGTACTGATACACATTTTCTCTGGTGCTTGACTAGAGAAAACGTAATTTTTTTTCCCGCCCAGCTACCATATCTCACATTCATTTGAAATTTATTATACTGTGAGTGAATGTATCAAGTTTATATGCTATGTAACGTATTTCTTATATAATTTTTAAGAAAATATCATAGATGGATTAATGAAAATATCTATATTAACGTAAAATAAGACATTTAATGTCCCAAAGAGTGATTTCACTGGTCTGCATATTTTTAATGACTCTTTGGTATCTTTTTCGGTATATATATATGGAAAATAATGATTCACTGTGTTTTTTATTCATCTCTATCACATCAGGTTGTCAAATTATACAGAAACGTTAATTTTCTCTTTTAGTATAACCTAAGTAAATGAGAAAGTGGTATATTACCAACTAAAATGTTTACTTTATATTGACTTAAATGTTAGTAGTAGGGTAGACAGTCAGCACTATGAACTAAAAGACTGACCACCAAGAACCAGCTTCTTACCCGGAAACCACAACGTGAAAAATGTGCCACTAATTGACCCAAGAAAATTCTGCTGCCACCACTCCACATCAAATTAGGGCTTATGAAAAATTTGTGAAGGTTTTGAACAAGAATGGAACTGCTTTCAAGTACCTGGAGACAAAGTTTCCTCGTATAAGTGAAGGCAAGCTAAAGGCAGGGATCTTTGTTGGCCCTCAGATTCGGGAATTGATGGAGGACAAGCATTTTGAAGAAGCATTAGCAGGTGTCGAGGTGAATGTCTGGTTTTCATTCAAGCAGATTGTCCACAACTTCCTGGGAAACAGGCGCTCCCCCCGAATATGAATTCATGATCCATGACCCGATTTCAAGTTTCCAACAACTTGGATATATAATGAGTGTGAAGATGCACTTTTTGCACTCACATCTTGACTATTTTCCCAACAATTGTAGGGACTATAGTGAGGAACAAGGAGAGCAGTTCCATCAGGATATTTGCACCATGGAAACTCGATACCAGGGCAAATGGAATGTCAGCATGATAGCAAATTACTGCTGGTCATTGACACATAATGGTCTCGATGCACAGCACGAGCGAAAATCAAAGCAGTCCTCCTTTTTTTTATTTAATATGTAGGCTAACCATTTGGAACATATGTTTTTAATAAAATATTCAAAATCCATACATAATAGAGCAAAATGGTTCAGAGATTTTTAATCAGCAGCCCAAAAATATGTAAGATCGGAACTATGAAGAAAAATAAAAATTGAAAACATTCCTAATGAAGACCCGTGCCGTTGTTATGTATTATTATTATTACTATGTTATGTATTATTATTATTACTATGTTATGTATTATTATTATTACTATGTTATGTATTATTATTATTACTATGTTATGTATTATTATTATTACTATGTTATGTATTATTATTATTACTATGTTATGTATTATTATTATTACTATGTTATGTATTATTATTATTACTATGGTGTCAAGACTAGCGATTTTAATGTGTACCTGCATGCCAGCACAGTGTGCAAGTTTATTTAGGTACTGGTACACATGAGTACAATTTTCAGAGTATATATGGGGGAGCCATATAGCGAGTTGTGGCCATAATTTGAAAAGTCCATATTAGCGGAACTTCGTAAAGCAGAGCCCTGTTTCTTTCCATGGCTGTTAAGAAATAGTTTAAAATCGGCAATTATAAAATATGATAAACTTTCATTATATAATAATAGTTTCTGATTTTCAAGCTCAGTTCATTTATAATTTAGTCTGTTATGCATATATGAATGTTCTGGATTGTCTTATGTATGCGGTTTTGGCTTAAATACCAACGGTTTTCTTGCCGAATAAGGCAAGCAAAATTTGTGTACGCAATAATTTCGCAAAAATCATTGTTATTATTATTAAATTATTATTAAAGATTCGCCGGTATTCTCCCGGCCCGGGCCTTGTCCAAGTGGTGGCCCGGCCTTGGCTCCCTCTTAGGGAGTGTCTGAGACCTAAGTCTCCCATGGGAGGAGGCACAAGTACCTCCTCATCTTTGGGACCAACTGTCCCCAGGCGTAGCCACAAGCTAGGCCTCTCTGGTCTGCCATCCCCGCCCCAAGGGGGCTAATGGGAATGACAGTCTTGTGAGCTAAAGGCTCGGGCTCAGGCACCTACCCTACCCTAGAAGGGTTAGGCATGGTGTCGATCAAAAATCATTGTGAACCTAACGAAAAAAAATATTTCATTGCGTTTGTTAATTATTAAATTATTATAAACTTATGTAAAATAGTTGGATTAGGCTAAATTAATTGCTATTGCTATAATAAGGTTAGGTAAATTTTCTATGGTTCTTTCGTTACAAAATTATTAATTATTACATTAATATAAATAAAAAAAATATGTCTTTAAAAGTATAAGAAAATTACTTAGGAAGGACTTAATTTTAAAGGAATTTTTGCTAACTGACCAGTTTTACCTATTTGGCACGATAAATTATATATATATATATATATATATATATAATAATATATATATAATATATATATATATATATATGTCGTACCGAATATGTAAAACTGGTCAATTAGCAAGAACTCATTTAAAATTAAGTCCTTTCTAAAATTTTCTCTTATGTTTAAAGATATATTTTTTTCATTAATGTTAATGTAAAAATTTTTAATTTGGCTCTGCGAGTGAACTGAGTAGCATTAACTCGTTCGATACTAATGTTTGATCATTTGATGCACTCTGACAGGTGTTTGCCAGCACTGAGACGTGGAGTACAGCCATGGAGAAGTGTTCATCCATGGGTGCTGAACTGGCCAAAGTAAACCCAGATAACCTTGATTTCCTTAACAAGTACAGTATCTCTCTTACTTTCATTTTGTTTTGGAAGATATATATATATATATATATATATATATATTATATATATATATATATATATATTATATATATATATATTTATTTTATTATCACACTGGCCGATTCCCACCAAGGCAGGGTGGCCCGAAAAAGAAAAACTTTCACCATCATTCACTCCATCACTGTCTTGCCAGAAGGGTGCTTTACACTACAGTTTTTAAACTGCAACATTAACACCCCTCCTTCAGAGTGCAGACACTGTACTTCCCATCTCCAGGACTCAAGTCCGGCCTGCCGGTTTCCCTGAACCCATTCATAAATGTTACTTTGCTCCACACTCCAACAGCACGTCAAGTATTAAAAACCATTTGTCTCCATTCACTCCTATCAAACACGCTCACGCATGCCTGCTGGAAGTCCAAGCCCCTCGCACACAAAACCTCCTTTACCCCCTCCCTCCAACCCTTCCTAGGCCGACCCTACCCCGCCTCCTTCCACTACAGACTGATACACTCTTGAAGTCATTCTGTTTCGCTCCATTCTCTCTACATGTCCGAACCACCTCAACAACCCTTCCTCAGCCCTCTGGACAACAGTTTTGGTAATCCCGCACCTCCTCCTAACTTCCAAACTACGAATTCTCTGCATTATATTCACACCACACATTGCCCTCAGACATGACATCTCTACTGCCTCCAGCCTTCTCCTCGCTGCAACATTCATCACCCATGCTTCACACCCATATAAGAGCGTTGGTAAAACTATACTCTCATACATTCCCCTCTTTGCCTCCAAGGACAAAGTTCTTTGTCTCCACAGACTCCTAAGTGCACCACTCACTCTTTTTTCCCTCATCAATTCTATGATTCACCTCATCTTTCATATATATATATATATATATATATATATATATATATATATATATATATATATATATATATATATATATATATATATATATATATATATATATATATATATATATGTCGTGCCGAATAGGCAGAACTTGCGATCTTGGCTTAAATAGCAACGCTCATCTTGCCATATAGGACATGTGAAAATTTGTGTATGCAATAATTTCGCCAAAATCATTCTGAACCTAACGAAAAAAAATATATTTCACTGTGTTATTTTAGTATTAAATTATTGTAAACAAATCTAAAATATATTTAGTTGGGTTAGGCTAAAATAAATTGTTCTTGTTATAATAAGGTTAGGTAAGTTTTCTAAGATTCTTTTGGAGAAAAATTAAAAATTTTTACATTAACATTAATGAAAAAAATATATCTTTAAACGTATAAGAGAAAATTTTAGAAAGGACTTAATTTTAAATGAGTTCTTGCTAATTGACCAGTTTTACATATTCGGCACGACATATATATGTATATATATATATATATATATATATATATATATATATATATATATATATATATATATTTATATATATATATATATACATATATATAAAGTGAAATGGAAGAGGTGGTTTATGTTGTATTGATTTATTTATTTTTTTCATTTTGTTTCCTTCCTCAAAATAAGGTTTTTATTTCATTTTAACATGATAAAGAACTCATTCGATCAGCGTGAAGTTTTCAACACTTGTGAACGGTAAGTAGTACATGGTTCTTGTGGCTGTACTAAACCCACATTACCTTGTGATGGAAGTTATACTATCTACATATTGCTGGAGAGAATAATCAAATTGTGTAGATGTTAATATTTGCCATATTTATGTGAAAAACTGAGATTTTTTTTTCCATTGTATTATATTGAATATTCTTTATTACACCTCTTATGCTTGACTGCAGTCTTTAATGGCGCCTGCAACTGAAAGAATATGAACTAACAAGTTTATAATGCGTAGGTGCAAATTTGACTATATACTAACGCACTTAATGAATAATGGAATCTTAACTCATACTATAACTGGATAAAACTTTTTCTAATTGGCTTGAAACTATTAGCAGTTGTTTTATTGAGCTCACAGTAAGCCTCGTCTTTATGCTACTTTAGCTCAAATTTGCCAATATTATTTTATAAATTGCGATATCCATTCAAGTGTCAGATAATACGTTTTATAACTGTCCTCAAATTATTTACACAGTAGTACTTGTTAAGTGGAATAACATAAAATAGGTTCCAACAGATTAGGTGTAAATTCCCAGTCTTCAGATATTGATAATAAATATAATTTTGAAAGTCGCCGAGGTGAAGATGTGATCATTCCATCAACTTTGAAGATACAGTGTTTAAGGTGGTCAGTCCCTCAGGGACTAACCACCGCTGTCTTGCCAGAAGTGTGTAGAAATCACAACTGAAACGACCCTCTGAAACACAACGTCCCCATCTCTCCTTCATAGTGCCGACACTGTCTTTCCCACGTCGAGGACTGAAGTCCAGATAGCAGAATTACATCATTAATGTTTCCTTTCTCTCTCTCTCCAGCGCACATAAACCTATAAAAACCACTTGTTCCATAAAACTATAAAAGCCACTTGTTCCTATTCACTCTGATCAAGCATATTCATACAAGCCTTCTGGATGTTCAAGCGCCTAGCATTCCAAACCTCCTCTACTCTCTGCTTCTAATCCTTTCTGGGATGTTTTCAACCCATCTTTCCTTCCACCCCACATATGTAAATCCTCTTGAGCAAGCATCCTATTTTGCTCCATCCTCTCCAAATGCTCAAATAATTTCAACAACTCATCTGCAGCCAGAATTATACTTCTTGTAACCCCCACACAGTCTTCTAACTTCTACACTGAATTTTATGTATAATATTCACTCATTGCTCTAAAATCTAATATTACAGCTGTATCCAGTCTCTTTTTTTTCCGTACAACGTTTCAGACCCATGCCACACACCCATGAAAAAGTGTTGGTAAAATTATATTTCTGTACATTTCCTTATTTTACCACAACAAAAACTACGTACTTTCATTTCATAGATTCTTGCCAACACTACCTACTTGTGCTCACTGATCTTATCTATGGTTCTCCTCATTTTTCATAGAACCATCTGTCTATTGCTCCTCACCTAAATATCTGAATACATTTAGTTTTTTTCCATATTCCGTCCCTCCAGTTTGACTGATATCCCATCCAAATTATCCAATATTTTCTTGTTTCAATGTTCACATCATAATTTCTCTCTTCATGCTCTTCCAGATTCCTTCAACAACTTTTGCAACTTCTGTACTGTATAATGATGCATCATCAGTTGATATACAACAAGCTGTGTTCGTAGTTTCAGTTTGAAATTATTATATTAATTGAGACTAGGTTCTTGTCAGTTGCTCTCATGTAAGGAGATATGTGGATGATACATTCTTTTCTTTTTTTTTTTTTTTTTATTCGCCGGTATTCTCCCGGCCCGGGTCTTTTCCAAGTAGTGGTGACCCGGCCTTGGCTCCCTATCTGGGGAGTGTCTCGAGACTTAAGTCTCCCATGGGAGGAGGTACAAGTACCCCCTCATCTTTGGAACCAACTGTCCCCAGGCCTAGCCACATTCCCCGCCCTCACGGGGCTCGTAGGGAGAAGGTAGGCCTCTGGTCTGCCATCTGCCCCGCCCCAAAGGGGCTCGTGGAGATGGCAGTCTTGTGAGCTGCAGGTGGTAGCAAGCTCAGGCCTTCCATTCTCAGATTGATTTAAGAATCATTTAAAGTACAAACAAAATATGTTAATGTTTGTTAGTAGACAATACTATTATTTTCAGCTTCTGAAGTTGTTGTTTATATTAAGCTTCCGTTTTATGGTCATCTGAGTTACAATATTAGGCAGCAATGTTCAAAATTATTAAAAGCTAGTTACACCAAAATTAAATTTAAAGTCATTTGGTAAACCCGTTTATTATTTGTAGACATTTCAGGTTTAAGGATTGCAGTCCTTCTGTGCTCAGATATAATATACGAATTCACTTATTCTAAGTAGTAGGAAGTACTTTCTAAAATTTTATTACTGAAGTTTGTGAACATATGAGATACACATATTGGAGTCTTATCCCTCTGAATCTCTTAGGCTAAATCACATAACACTTTGGTTTTAAGAAATTTATTAGCCCCTACATATGAAACAGCTAAAACTTGATATCAGTGACGGTGATACTTCATATACATTATTTACCCTGAAACATTTATAGTTTACTCTCTTTTCGAGAGCTTAGCTTTATTTTTTATTTAATATAACGGATTGTTTTGCAGAGTAACTACCTAATTCCTGAAGGCCATATAACATTATATCCTTACTGGTCTGTTCATCTATTTTTTTTTTTTTTCAGATTTTATGTCATTGTAATTTTTTCTTGTTTACACTGGTTGTACATTATCATCTCAGGTTCCATAATATGAATCCTGATGATGAACATGGATTCACCACCAAAATGTTGATTTACTCGGCGATAAATATCCTCTGAAGATATGAAGAAGTGTTATATTTCCCACCTGCCTAAATTAATTTTTTTTTAAGTTCGATAACAAGGCATAAGAAGAGAGAGAGGGAGAGGGGGATAGAGAGGGAGAGGGGGAGAGATGGAGGGAGAGAGAGAGGGAGAGAGGTGACGTGTGGTTGGACCATTGTTATGGAATGTCTAATTCAATGAGCTTCATCTCATATCAATCCCATGCATATGCAGATGACTGTAGTCTGACCTTTACTTATCCAAGAAAGGAAATGCCAGCTGCTCAAAGTTACAGTGATTACCAGCTTAAGCTAATTCAGCCTGTGGAAAACTATGGCAAGTCACATTTGCTCCTTAGAAAATACAAATGACAACGGTCTCTGGGCACTATAATGGTAATGCTGGAACAGTGGTAAGAATGAATGGGAGAGTTTTGATTCCCGGGAATGAAGCTGATATCCTTAGCGTGAAATTTGTCTCCAAGCTGACTATGAAGAACCACGTTGTAAATCTTGCAAAGTGGCCAGGAAGCTTACAGCTATCTCTCCTGCTGAACATTAGAAGTTGCAAGATTCTGTACGATGCACAAGTACACTCACACATTGAGTATGCTTCACATTTTTGGATTACCTGCCCCTGTCTCATATCTGACTTCTTGACACAATAGAGAACTAAGCAACACGACTTATCCCTCGCCTGGAACCAGCCTGGACAGACCTATCATTTCAGCAGAGCCTGCAACATCAGAGAGATGTGAATGGCCTTACTTTTTGTCCAAAGCCAATATTGTCGAAATACTTGGGTCCACTCTGCTAACAGTGAGAAGTGAGCTTCTTCATATTAAGACGGGAAGCAAACAGCAACTGCACTCTAGCTGTAACTTTATCTTCCCTCAAGGAAGGTTCCTTGATGTTGGTGAGGGGCTCTTGATTTAGGGAACTGGATCTGTACTCCAGTTCCCCGAATTAAGCCTGAATGCCGCTGTATAATCCTCCGGATTTAGCGCTTCCCCTTGATTATAATAATAATAATAATAATGTAACTTTATCTGAGATCATTTTTGCTAAGCTGACTCGACTCTGGAAAATGTTCGTACAGCATAACGACATCAGCGAAACAGAGTCAGTTTCCCAAATGAAATTACTGACCCACAGTTGGCTCTAGCGTCATCTTCCCTTTTTTATGCATTTTAATATTAAAGAACATTCAAATTAGCAAATTAGCTCTTAGCTTGTAAATAATGTTAATCTAACCTTGTACAACCCTTGTGTAACTGAGAGAAAGAGTGACAGACAGACAGAGACAGACAGAGACAGAGACAGAGATGATGGCCTACATATTCATGGAATGTAAGACAACATTTGACACAATACGATGCTTCTGTAACACCTGGCTAAACGATTATGAGATTTTACCCGAACAACTCTGTGATGGAGGACTTTTGATCTGTGAAAGTAGAACTGTTTTCCTTCTTTAGACCAAACCTGAATCTCTTTTTACCGGAGCTGTATTGCACCTTATGATTTAGTTCTTCCCTATGAATATATTATTATTATTATTTTATTTTATTATCACACTGGCCGATTCCCACCAAGGCAGGGTGGCCCGAAAAAGAAAAACTTTCACCATCATTCACTCCATCACTGTCTTGCCAGAAGGGTGCTTTACACTACAATTTTTAAACTGCAACATTAACACCCCTCCTTATTATTATTATTATATTTTATTTAAAACTTTATATGCATGATACCTACATAAATATGTCGAACATACCTAAAACATGACAGAATTATTGCTAACATTTACTGAAAGTCAACCAACTCTCTAACAGGTAAATGAAACACATACACAATAACACTAAATATAAACCTACCACATTCAAGCTGAGGCTTAAACATATTTCTACAACTTTATAAACGTTAACTATAAAAAATACTGACAATTATACAGATTATTAATATGACTGCAGTGACATGTTATGTATATTATAATCTGATACTTCAGATAAAGGACAAATTGCATTTATTTGTAGAAGAGAGAAAAACGTATAAGAATACGTTTGCATTTTCCTAACTACCGAACAAATAAGCAACACTAACATTATGATTATTATTACCTTAAAGTACCATGTGCTATACATGACTTCCACAGGTTCAGCGCTTTCCAATGATATATTACCAATACCTCACATTTTCCAAGAGTTGTAACCCGTACGTAAATAACCTAAACCATAATTTTTAAGGGAATGGACGGGTATGCCAGTGGAAGGCCCCAGTCAGATGACCAAAAGCTCTAACTGTGGATCATCATATGACTAAGACCTGCGTCAGGAAACACTTGTCCTGTTTTCTGACAAACTTTACCTAACCTGCCTTAACCCCTACAGATTCATTGCCTCATAATTAGCATAAAATTGTATAATTTGACTACTGCTGTCATTTTACTTTTCCAGAATATTAAGAATAAATATTTATATTAATTATATGACAGATTGACTGGGCTGGATGACGTAAGAGATGTTTACACGTCTTTCTGGGTGCAAGATTCCATCAACGGCACTTCAGAACGTATGTTTTTCTTTCAGCTTCATATGTTTAGATCCAAGAAATTGGAGCTATCTTTTCCTTCCGCTGACCAAACCTGATTGCCTCCTGTTACTGAGGCATTGTATATCCCTCACAAGCTTAACGTTTAACTATTAATAAAATCCCGATCCGTTAGAGAAGGATCGGTGACACCACTACAGGTCATTACCTCCCAATGTTGCATTAGTACTTATATAAGCAATGATTACTGACCATTAGTCATAAATCCAATAAATCCGTCACTATCAATCGCTATTGCATTTCATTATCACCTACTATTAGAGTTCACTATTACACCCACTATGGCATATCATTAACCCCCATTATGGCAGATCATTAACACCCATTATGGAAGATCACCCACTTACAAGCTATTAGAACTCCTTACCACTCACTTCTACAGATCATTAACACCCACTGTAGCAGATCAATAGCACTCACTATTACAGGACATTAAAAATCACCTCTTTTGAACATTAGCACCTAATATTACATGTTATTACACCCCACTAAAACAGTCCATTAACACACAGTATGGCACGTCATAATCACTCACTGTTACAGATCATTAACACGCAATTATGCAGGTTATTAATACCCCGGTTACAGATCAGCAGCAACTTCTACAGTTTATTGAGAACCACCGGTACAGGTGATGAACCCTGGAAATAATTAACTGCTACTGCATAACATTGGAACTCACTACAACATCCCTTTAGCACCCACTGGTGAAGGAAATTATTTCGAATTCGACCAGATGGGTAGAGGAAAGTGTAAGGTGACTGGAAGTGAGAAAAACAGTGTTTGAAGTGAAGCTTTTATAAAGCAAACAAGCAACCTGAGGTCAGGCTCGGGAGAGGTTAAATACGAGGTAACAAGTGAGGTCATGGAAGAAAAACAGTGATGTGAGACTGTACGCGTATTTAGGGGTGATTGTACTGGGGATGAAACATGGTGGCGTCGTGTTTGTATGAAACATTTTTAGTAATCATTGTTGGAAAATATGAGTAATGTGACTTGCCAGTGTGTTTATTCACATGTTTCGTTCAATTATATATACTCTGATGCAACAATATTATTGCTACATTGTCTATAATGAGGGAGCTGAATGTGAATCTAACTCTTTGCTTCCTTCCCTTGTGTACATGTCCATTACTCGGCTACAGGCTCTTCTTTTTCCGTTTATGTATATGCACAGTGGCATGTACATTCACTACTTTTCATACCACGCTCCCTCTGACAAGAAAAGTGACCCTCCGATCCTTGACTCTGAAATTTTCATTCTTTGCAATTCGTTCTCTCGTCTTGGCAACCCTTCTGATATCATAAACTCTTCCTGCTCACTTGCTAAACTGACTTTCTTCTCCCCCAAACACTCTACTCCTTTGTTCTTTGTCTTCCCTTTATTTCCACTCTCTGTAATCTCAACAACTCTCTGTTCCTTAGACATTAAACTAACTTTTTGCCATACTAACACACTTTGCAGCAATCTAGTTCGTGCCCCTCCTCCTGCTACTAATGCCTCTAGAGTCTACCCTAGTTCCTGCTTAATATATATATATATATATATATATATATATATATATATATATATATATATATATAGCACACGAACGAGTGGTATTGATCAATAACAACACTGCGACTAGCCAAGGACTCGAACCCATGCTGCTTTGGCCTGCCTCATGGTGGGCGAAAACTCATGACGCCTTAATCCACTGGACTATACAATCCTTAAGAGTAGCGCATCCAGCGGAACTGGATGTTGTACTCGCTACCCAAGGACATACGATGTTGTGGATGATTCTAGGCTAATTTCTTTCTAGGCAGGCCAAAGCAGCATGGGTTCGAGTCCTTGGCTAGTCGCAGTGTTATTATTGATCAATACCACTCGTTCGTGGGCACAATAATATAAAATACTGCTCGTTGTACTAGTACACCAAACAGGGACTAGAATGAAATTAGCCTAGAGTCATCCACAACATCGTATGTCCTTGGGTAGCGAGTACAACATTCAGTTCCGCTGGATGAGCTACTCAAGGATTGTATGGTCCAGTGGATTAAGGCGTCATGAGTTTTCGCCCACCATGAGGCAGGTCAAAGCAGCATGGGTTCGAGTCCTTGGCTAGTCGCAGTGTTGTTATTGATTATATATAATATATATATATATATATATATATATATATATATATATATATATATATATATATATATATAACTGGCTCCCTTACCTTCCTGTGTTAGTGATACTTGTCAGTGGTTTATGTCGTATCGGAAAGTCATCATAAACTTTCTTCTATGTTTGGGTTATTTGTGTACAGTGTATATGTAAACAAAAATAAAAGTTTTGTTCTTAATTACTAGTTATAAGTAAATGCAATTCAATTAAAATAATGTCTGTTAGAAAATTATTTAAACTTTTAAAAGTCAATTCAATCTATTTTCTTTTTAATTAGCTATCTAATGTTAAGTATAAAGGAGGTAATATTTTAACAATGTTTCCATCAACTCTGAAATATATATGGATAGCGGTAGTGAACTATAACACCAGAACAAAGTCTTCCTTCCATGGTGACTTCTTTCCGTTATTGTATTGTCAACCCACAGTGCAAACTATTTCAAAGATGTTTTCTTTTTCTAACGAACCTTTTGGCAGGCAAAGACAAACGGACTGGAAGATTTATTTTCTGTGTCAGAAAGACATCAATAATTAAATAACTGTTGTATCTGACTTATGAGATAATCATGTCCTCTGGCTATGATTATATTTCTACAAATCTGGCGATATTCTGATATGTATAAATCTTGTAAGAATGGTTCTGCTGCTGCTTAAACATTAGCATACCAAAACAGTGCATCACTACGCTTGCTATCTACATTTTCGAAGGCTAGGCTGGAGACAGCCAAAAAAAAGTTTTTTAGCGAATATGCAAAAGCAGAGTTACAGTAAAACATTTTCAACTGTTAACAGCTTAGTATCTTCCTGTCGGTGCTTCCGCTATTGTGCAAAGTCTACTGCACTGAGTATCAACAAAGTTTCTTGACACTAAATTGTTAGCTAAACTGGTATAGCCTGAGATGCTTGATATAGATGCACAGTATCACAATATTGCTTGACAGCTATGTACAATAGATCAGGGGGTATTTCTGTTAATGCATCTTCAAAGAGAGAGAGAGAGAGAGAGAGAGAGAGAGAGAGAGAGAGAGAGAGAGAGAGAGAGGCAAAGTATTTATTTCCTGATGAAACAATTTGAAAAGTAAAGAAATATATTTTTTTTAAACATATCAATTTTTAATGACTCATTAGAGCTCTTTACAAAATCCTGTCCTATCTAAGGTTCACTACCACCCCTGGGATGTGATCCACACCAGTCGACTTACACCCAGGTACCTACTTACTGCTAGGTGAAAAGGGGCAGCAAATGTAAGGAGATGTTCCCCACCGAAGATGTGCCAAGACCCGAACCATTGATCCCACCAGCTTCATTGAAGAAAATAGGGCCAAATTAATTAAATCTAAAGCTCAGGTGAATTATACTGAAATAAACCGTGATCAGCAAGCTGACAAGAACCTCTTTGTAGAGAGAATCTGAATGGAGGTGAATTCCTCACATGGACTACATTCCATTTACATGGAATCAAGATATTCTCCCCATTTCAAATCCTAAGCTTTGTTCCTATTTTATGAAAATGCTCACTCTGTCGCCATAATAAGGCAAACAATGCTCATAGGAAAAGATACCACCCATCACATAAATCTACTTCTAACATCTGTCATTGCTGTGGAGCAACAACTGATAGCCATGGTAGAAGAAATCCAGCGGAACTGGATTTATAACCTAAGAAAGGAAAACAATGTGATGCTTGTACTTAGAACTGTTAGTAATAGGCTAGAATTGAAAGAGAAATTACAGCTACTGGCAGGACAGAGGTCCTTTCCTCTGCTTCTCTTGGGGAAAAAAAAGGTTATACTCATCAGAGTACAGTTGCGGCTCTTTACGTACGCCTGTGAAGAGCTGGAAACAGTCCAAGAATATGCACTCCACCCATCACTCGCTCTCTCGCTCTCTTTCTCCTGCCTCACTTCTGCAACTTCGCCATGGAACTCATGCAGGATTGTGAGACAAGATTGGGTGCTATGTCTTTCTCAAATTGTCGCTCATCATTTCTTTTCGTCGTCTGAATATTCATTTCTTACTCTTTTGCCCAGTATTCTGTTTTCTAATGTTCTTCGCTTTCTAGTCTTTCCATATTCTTGCACTTGTTTCCTCTCTGCATCTTTGGGTGAACATCGGGATCTCTTTGTTCAAACCATTCCCGCTTCTTCAAGGTATAAAGATGTGCTTGGCTTCCCAACAATATCCGTGAGTGGGAGGTTAGGGAGAGGTGGCGGGGTAGGAAAAGGCGAGGTAGGAGGTTTGGAAGGGAGTTAAGAAGCAAGGTGGGAAAGGGATATGGTAGGTGTTCTTGATGCAATAAAAGAATCTAATAGGAAGGAAGGAAGTTATGGTAGGTGGCGGAAAGGATGTCAAAAGGGACAGTATGAAAGGTGTAAATGCAAATTGTGGTGAAGTAAGGAAAGTGGTGAGGACAGAATTGAGGGCGGTGAAGGGAAAGGAGTGCAGGGAGGTTATAGGAGTGCAGGGAGGTTATAGGAGTGCAGGGAGGTTATAGGAGTGCAGGGAGGTTATTGGAGTGCAGGGAGGTTATAGGAGTGCAGGGAGGTTACAGGAGTGCAGGGAGGTTATAGGAGTGCAGGGAGGTTATAGGAGTGCAGGGAGGTTATAGGAGTGCAGGGAGGTTATAGGAGTGCAGGGAGGTTATAGGAGTGCAGGGAGGTTATAGGAGTGCAGGGAGGTTATAGGAGTGCAGGGAGGTTGTAAGGAACGGGTAACGAAGCATACAAACTTCACCCGTCTCTTGATCGACAGCTGCGTCAGTTTAGGATTGAAAAAAATTATTTAACTTAGTTTCTGCTAATATTCAGTATTCATGGAAAAGCGCTAAAGCCGCATGGATCCTACAGTCTGAGTAATGGGAGGTCATTAGTATAATTATACTCACGAGAGTCACTTCTCCCATAAGGTTCATACAACGCATGGGTTATCTGAGTTATATATTTCACATTTATGGGGAAGCGCAAAGCTCGTAAGGGTCAAATAATGACTGAAAATTTCTCCCTGTAACATTACAATAAGCTAAAACAAGACGACAATTTCTCTTTTTTTTTTCAGCCCAGATTAGATTCATCATCACTGTATTATTCAGTTCTGTTATCACCGTCAAAGAGTTCTGTGCAACGGTTGACAGGTCAACTTTCATGCTCAACGAATCAGTCTGCGAAGATTACTTGCCATACCTGTGTGAAGCAGCAGTAGGTGAGTTTCCTGCACCTACTTACGTTCGTTACGCCATAACAGTGTGAGATGGAAGCAGGTGAGTCCTTTCCTAGATGTTTTCCTAGTGCCATGTACCCTCCTACCTACCTACCTGCAGAGTTTTATATTTATGTGCGATATTAGTAAGTACCCTACTTATTGTCTCTCTTGTTTTATACCAGTCTTGTAGGAGAACAGGTTGTGTTTAATAAGAAGAGGAAGATCACTGGACACTGCAGCATTCTCGCAGTATCCAGTGATCTTTCTTTACTTATTAATCACTTTAATTAAAGGTCTACACTATGATAATAATAAAAATTATAATAATATTAATCATGGTTTGAGTGGGTGTGGATAGAAGCACGTACTCCATGTTTTTTAATTCACCATTCCGAAATTACTAGTATTATTAAGTGGTTACAAATAAGCTTACCATTTATTCAAAAATATATTTTAATATATATATATATATATATATATATATATATATATATATATATATATATATATATATATATATATATATATATATATATATATATATATATATTATGTCGTGCCGAATATGTAATACTGGTCAATTAGCAAGAGCTCATTTAAAATTAAGTTTTCTAAAAAAAATTGAGTGGGGGCTCTGCTTCCCTTGTTTTTTGGAGTGGGGGCTCCGTCCCATCAATTTTTTGGAGGGACCCACACAAGCCCCCCATTGACACCCCCCTCACCTCTCCCTCTTTTTTCGATTTTTTTTTATTTTATTTTTTAAATTTTCTGTCCTCATTTTCGCACCCCCTGCTGCCACTCCTACTACATGCATCATACAAAGTTATCTCCCCTACCCTATTAGGGCGTTCTCTACTTCCTCCTATCAAGCTTATGGGGGTTGGAAAATTTTCCAAGTTTTTCAGTTTTTGGGGGTCTATTCCATGACCGGTCGAGTCGGGCTCAGGCTCCTGGGTCACCCCTGAGTTCCTTGGGTCAAATTTACCATTATTTTTTTTAAATTCGAATATAAGTAGAAGTATGACACCCACAGAGTTTTGAATTTCGAGCTATGGTATAATTTTTTCTAACTTCTGGTAAACACCTGTGTCATATTATAGCAGCTGGCTCATAAATATAATTGCTTACAAGAATCACAGAGGTAATAAATTTTACCACTATAAATTTTTACCACTGTAAATTTTTACCACTGTAAATTTTTACCACTGTAAATTTTTACCACTGTAAATTTTTACCGCTGTAAATTTTTACCACTGTAATTTTTTACCACTGTAAAGTTTTACCACTGTAAATTTTTACCACTGTAAAGTTTTACCACTGTAAAGTTTTACCATTGTAAAGTTTTACCACTGTAAAGTTTTACCACTGTAAAGTTTTACCACTGTAAAGTTTTACCACTGTAAAGTTTTACCACGAAGTGCTAAGTTAACCTGGGATAACTCAATAATTTTTCCTCTTCTACACTTGGCTGGCGTGTTTTTTTTTTTTTTTTTTTTTTTCTTAAATCAGAGGTAAATCAATACACAAATTCATTTTTACAACTTTCATTTATTATACTACAATTTTTTGTTGTTGTTGTTTTCAGTATTAGTTAATACATTAAAAAGATTTACAGTTTCATAACTGAGCTGAGATTCATTAATCAATTTATGTCTATCAAGATGGCTACGAATTGCCTCGGCAATTATTGATTCCACAAATTTTCCCACTGTGGAGGTAAGTCTTATTGGTCTATAGTTCAAAGCTAAGGACCTGTCACCTGCCTTGTAAATAGGTATTACATTTGCTATTTTCCACTTGTCTGGCACTATGCCAGTTTGTAGTGATATGTTGAAAAGATTAGCCAAAGGTTTGCTAAGTTCATCTTTACATTCCTTTAATACCCTTGCAAACAGTTCATCAGGACCTGGGGATTTGTTAGGTTTTAATTTCTCTATTTGTCTGAGTACCTTGTCACTAGTTACCCTAATCGTGCATAGCTTATGATCGTCCTGTTCAACATAATTTATTATTTCTGAAATTTAGCTAGTATCTTCCTGCGAAAAAACTGAGAGGATGTGATGAAAAATTCACACACACATACACACACACACATACACTCACAAACACACACACATACATACACACACACATACACACACACATACACACACACACACACACACACACACACACACACACACACACACACACACACACACACACACACACACACACACACACACACACACACACAAGGAAGATAGTAGAGCTTGGTAAGAAAATGGAGGAGTGGATAGCTGAAGAGTGCAGGAAGTGGGAAGTACAGGTCTTAGCAGCAGAAGCTAGGATACAGTGCTTAGAAGAGAAACTGCAAAGCCTGAAACAGATTAGAGAGACAAATGACAATTCAGATGTGACATCAGGAAATTCATTGTCAGGCACAGACAAGGGGACGGTAAGCAACAACGGAGACATGCCGTACACGAAGGCCCTATCAGACCCACGTGGGGCCAGGGAAAAGACGAGGAGCACACTAAGATCAAATGACAGGTCCGAAGACAATGAAGGTATGCTATATGCAGAGATTCTAACAGCCAACTGCAGTAGCAAGGGACAGCTGGTCAGGAAAGACAGTTCACTGAGAATAGAAGTTCCAGATATGACAGGGACTGAAGGCAAGAACATGTCAATGGAAGGAAATAAAATGCCTCAGAGGAAGCAGATGGAGACTCAGTGGGAGGAGGAAAGGGCGAGGTCAGTTTTTGTGTACGGGCTCCAAGAAGCCAAGGGGGACAACTTTGAAGAAATAAAACAGGAGGAGAAAAAAATGATTGAAGGCATCATGAAAACAATAGGTGAGGGCGATATGACCCAGGTGACAAATTTTCAGAGAATTGGGTGGTTTGCGAGTGGAAGGATACGGCCTGTCAGAGTAACTTTCAAGGAAGAATCAGTTGGAACAAGGATTCCTGAAGAGAAAGCAAGACTGAGGGACAAAGAGGGGTACACAAATAACCCGCACATAGAAGCTTACGACGACGTTTCGGTCCGACTTGGACCATTGACAAAGCACACTAACCAGAGGGGGAGCAGGACGGCTATATATAGGCAGGAAGAGGTGGTGGTAGTAGTAGTAGTAGTAGTAGTACAGGAATTGTATATAATACCGACAAGATGAAATTAAGACACATGCACAACACCCGGGCATCCCCATCGGGATGGGGATGCCCAGGTGTTGTTCTTGCATGACCACAATGATAGAAAAGAAACTGAAAGTTTGGTACACGAACGCGGATGGAATAACGAATAAACATGAGGAGTGGAACGAAAGAATCAGTGAAAAATCCCCAGACATCATAGCAGTCACAGAAACAAAATTCGCTGAGACAATAACAGACACAATCTTCCCAACAGGATATCAGATCCTGAGGAAAGATAGAAGGAGTAGAGGGGGAGGAGGGGCTGCACTGCTCATAAAACACCGATGGGGATTTGAGGAAATGGAAGGCATGGACATGATTGGAGAAAGAGACTACATTGTAGGTACAATTCAGTCCGGAGAACATAAAGTAGTCATTGGAGTGATGTATAACCCACCACAGAACTGCAGGAGGCCAAGAGAGGAGTACGAAGAAAACAGGGTGATGGTGGACACACTGGCTGAGGTGGCAAGAAGAGCTCACTCGAGCAGAGCAAAGTTACTGGTAATGGGCGATTTCAACCACAGGGAGATCGACTGGGAAAACCTGGAGCCACATGGGGGTCCCGAAACATGGAGAGCCAAGATGATGGATGTGGTACTTGAAAACCTCATGCATCAACATGTTAGGGACACAACCAGAGAGAGAGGGGAGGATGAGCCAGCAAGACTGGATCTTGTGTTCACCCTGAGCAGTTCAGACATTGAGGACATCACTTACGAGAGGCCCCTTGGAGCTAGCGATCACGTGGTTCTGAGTTTTGATTATATAGTAGAGTTACAAGTGGAGAAGGTAACAGGAACTGAAGGGGACAGGCCAAACTATAAAAGGGGGGACTACACAGGTATGAGAAACTTCCTGCAGGAGGTTCAGTGGGACAGAGAAATGGTAGGAAAATCAGTAAACGAGATGATGGAATATGTGGCAACAAAGTGCAAGGAGGCAGAGGAAAGTTTTGTTCCCAAGGGAAACAGAAATAATAGGAAGACCAAAACGAGTCCTTGGTTTACCCGAAGGTGTAGGGAGGCAAAAACTAAGTGCAACAGAGAATGGAAAAGGTACAGGAGGCATAGGACCCAGGAAAACAAGGAGATTAGTAGAAGAGCCAGAAACGAGTATGCACAGATAAGGAGGGAGGCCCAGCGACAGTATGAAAACGACATAGCATCGAAAGTCAAATCTGACCCGAAACTGCTGTATAGCCACATTAGGAGGAAGACAGCAGTCAAGGACCAGGTGATAAGGCTGAGGAAAGGAGGAGGAGAACTCACAAGAAACGATCAAGAGGTATGTGAGGAGCTCAACACGAGATTTAAGGAAGTATTTACAGGAAGGACTCTGGGGGGACAGACCAGATGGGGACACCAGCAAGGAATACACCAACAAGTGTTGGACGACATACATACAGATGAGGAGGAGGTGAAGAAACTGCTAAGGGACATCGATACCTCAAAGGCAATGGGACCGGACAACATCTCCCCGTGGGTCCTTAGAGAGGGAGCAGATATGTTGTGCGTGCCACTTACCACAATCTTCAACACGTCCCTGGAAACTGGGCAACTACCTGAGGTATGGAAGACGGCAAATGTAGTTCCCATTTTTAAAAAAGGAGACAGAAAAGAGGCACTAAAGACAGAAAAGAGGCACTAAACTATAGACCTGTGTCATTGACGTGTATAGTATGCAAAATTATGGAGAAGATTATCAGGAGGAGAGTGGTGGAGCACCTGGAACGGAACAAGAGTATAAATGCCAACCAGCACGGATTCACGGAAGGCAAATCCTATGTCACAAACCTTCTGGAGTTTTATGATAAAATAACAGAAGTAAGACACGAGAGAGAGGGGTGGGTTGATTGCATCTTC